CCCCGAGCGAGACGTGAGCCCAGACGGCAGAGGCTGATTATGCAATTGCACAGTTTCCAAGGTTGTCGGGACGGGTAGGGAGCGCTTCACGGCTCTGCCCTGGGGGTGCTGGCTTCTCACATTCATTTGCTAGTTATAAAAGTTAAACAGGGACTCTCAAGAGCCTCAGTGCTCCTTGTGCACACTGGGGAGCAATATAAACCTCGGCCCACACACCCAGGGGCTAGCCCACGGTGGCTAAATACACACCTTCTTGCATCCCATGGAAACCAGACTCTTCATACCCCTTCCCCAGCAATTGGTCCCACTGGTTCTTGCATGCAGTCACCAGCAGCTCCTTCACGGCACACACAGCCTGGCTGGACTTGGTGAAGCTCAGTTCCTTCTGGAAGCTTGGACATAGGGAACTCTTTTCCTCAGCTGCTATTTTTAAGGTCTGGAACTCCTGAGCCAAGGATACAGGGATCAAGAGCCTGCAAGAATCTTGGGCTGCGTCTTGTTCCACCACCACACCCCTTCCCAAAACACTAGTGCAGTGATTGTTCCCAGGACCCAGCATGAAGGCAGACATGCAACAGGGAGGGAACGACTTCTCTGGCCATGTGTTCCTTAGTCAGTTTCAAATCTGACTCAAGAATATCACATACAACAGTATCTCCTCCCACCAAGGACCATTGTGGCGCAGTGGAAGCGTGCTGGGCCCATAACCCAGAGGTTGATGGATCAAAACCATCCTCTGCTATTTAGGGGGGAGGGATAGCTCAGTGGTTTGAGCATTGGTTTGAGCATTGGCCTGTTAAACCCAGGCTGTGCGTTCAATCCTTGAGGGGGCCACTTAGGGATCTGGGGCAAAATCAGTACTTGGTCCTGCTAGTGAAGGCAGGGGGCTGGACTCGATGACCTTTCAAGGTCCCTTTCAGTTCTAGGAGATAGGATAGGATATCTCCATTTCCACAGCTGAGGTGCTTGAGGATCGCTCGCTCTGCAGAGATTGCCCCCATGCTAGGGGCTGCTTTGTGCATGCCCACAATAGCTGCCCATTATTTTTCCCCCCTTTAACTTTCCAGTGAGTGGCAAGAGGCGAGTTAGTTCACATACAACCCAGTATCAAACTCACTGTAGTGACCTTTAATTACAGGCCTGAGCCGAGGGCGTCATTTGCATTATTTTTTTTCCCAACAACTCCCCCTCTTCACCTCCTATTTCCATTCACCTGCTACCTGATTAACATGCCCTTAGGAGTCACAAGTCTACAGGCTTTGTCCCCACACTGCTGCATTGCAGATCTGAACCTGCTATTATGCATGTGTAACACCAACAGACCCTGATTGTCAGCAGGCACAACCGGACCTGGGACCTCTGGAGCTCAGTGCATGAGCCTCTCTCTACTGCATGAGCTAAAAGCCACCTGGCTGTTCGCTAAGGCTGTAGAGCAGACTCATTAATCTCTAAGGGGTCTCGATACTACTACATGGGACAGAGCACCACGCCCAGGAGGTGTGTGGGTTACACATGCGCTGTCACATACCAGTAGGGATCACTGACATATTCTAACCTTTGCCAGCTCCTGGGCCCTTGTTCTTCACAGAGTCAAGCCCTCAGTTATAATGAAGGTTCAGTGTTAACAATAATTTGGTAAGTATTTAGCTATGTACTTGGTGCAGGTCAACATGCACTCCCAGCGTCTCACTGCTCCCAGCACCCAGGCGCTCCCAGCTCCCGCTGCTGACAGTGAACCTCTGCTCCATCTGCTCCCTGTGTCCGTCTGTCTTCCATTTGCAACATGAGCGTGGGCAAGTTGCTCACTAGCAGCCTGACCCAAAGCCCACTGAAGGCAATGGAAAAACACCTGTTGCTTTCAGTGGGCTTTGGGTCAGATCCTGATTGAATAATGGATTAGCCAAGAGCTGCACTGCAGTTTGGAGGGAGAGGGGCTTGGAAGTGTCATGTTCCAGCCATGGCCGGCTCCAACGTTTTTGCCACCCCAAGCGGCGGGGGGGTGGGGGGTGGGGGAAGCTGCGATCGGCAGCACTTCGGCGGCAGCTCTACCGCCGCCGCTTCATTCTTCGGTGGCAATTCAGCGGCAGGTCCTTCCCTCTGAGAGGGACTGAGGGACCCGCCACCGAATTGCCACCGAAGAGCCGTACGTGCGACCCCTTTCTGTTGGCTGCCCCAAGCACCTGCTTGCTGCGCTGGTGCCTGGAGCCGGCCCTGGTTCCAGCTCCCCAGGTCCACAGGAAGCGCTAGCGGAGATCAGTACCTCCGGTCATTTGTGATTTTTAACCCTGCCCCAGCGCTTGCTCCGCTCCTGGCGCCAGTCCCTGCGCACCTGTAGGAAGTAAATGGTATCCGTGCTCGGAACCCTCTCCAGGTTCTGCCTGCACTGAGCCAGCTTGGCACGCTTCTCCTCCTTCTGCCGGAGATCTGCTTCAGCCTCAAGCAGCATGGATCGCTCGCCATCCTCGATGAAGCCAGTCACCTCTTTCTGGAAGGTCACCAGAGCTCTGGATGCTTCATCAAAGAGCCTGCTGACCTTTTCCTTCTCCTTCAGGGCGGCGCTCTACGCACACAAAGATGGGCATCTGCATTATTAGTAATCAGCTTTCCCCTTTCTATAGCTCAGTTCAGGGAAGGATCTCAGAGCTCTTTACAAACAGCAGCAGTTCATTAAGATCTTGCCTGTACTGGGGTTTTTGGCACTAATGCAGCTGCACCGGCGCAAACCACCGCTTGTACTAGGGCACCGTGCTTACATGAAGGGTCTGCACGGTGCAGCTGAAGTGGTGCCAAAAAATGCACTCCAAGCAGTGTAGACAAGGCCTATGCCACACCCCACCCCTCTGAGGTTGGCGGTTGTTACTGCCCCCATTTTATACAGGGAGAAACGGAGGCACAGAGAGGTGACGTGAACCAAGGTCAGACAGGGAGGCAGGTGTAGAACCCAACAGATCGCACTGTGCCCCTTTGCGTTTCCATGGAGCATGGCTGCACTTGTCCAACATGTTTCACTTTGATCACCTCTCTCCACAGGAAGTGGCAGTTCAGCACCTTCCCTCAGGCTGCGCTTTGCTGTCCCATGAAGAGATGCAGTTCATGCCAAATCCACGGTCTGAAATGTGGAGCAGGCAGGACACCTCCCCAGATGGGAGCAGAAAGCTAGATGAACCGTAGAGGCGAATGGGTGACAGACACGCAACCCTGGAGTATAATCAGCCTGCTGAAAGCTTAGGAATGTGGCTGCCATGGGGACTGACAGGGCTAAAGGAAATACCTCCCCAGCTGAGTTCCTCCAGGGGAGCAACCTCAGTCCCAGAAACGGTTTCCTCAGGGGCAGTATTTCCTATCCTGACAACATTCCAGATTGGGGGCCATGTATCGGGTCAGACGGCCGCCATGCTTTCCCAAAGCACGTGAGCACTCCCGAACTGGGAAGAGCTGCCTCTAGCAGAAGTCTCTCCGAAGTTGCTCTCGGTTCTAGGGGGGCTCGCCGGGGCATTTGTTAGAGGCCGCAGTTCAGAGGGAAGGTGGAAGGGAGCAGGAAATGCTCCAAGCTCAGCTCAAGCCCTGGGCAAGGTGAGGACAAGGTCATCTTACTTTGATGAGCTCCACGGTCTTTCTGGTCTGCGCGACGGTGACTCCCAGCTCGTCCAGCTGGTTCTCCACGCAGCTCAGGATTTTGGGTCGCTGGGCCTTGAAAACAAAAAGGATGAAAACAGCCCTGCTGAAAGGTGCATTAGCTGCCATACCCGGGTTGCGTTCAGAACCTGAGCCTTCCAAATGGGTGCGTCTTATACACATCACCTGCAGGGAGCCACAGCACTCGCTCCATAGCTAATGTTACAAACCCTTTTTCATGATAACCCTTATTTTTCACATCCACCCCTCTAAATTCTGTAAATAAAAACCAACTGAGCTGAAAATCGGGAGGATGCCTCTGAGGCCAAGGCAGAACTTTTCTACCAAATTTCAGGCAAATCAAACAGGGGATTCCAGAATTATGGGCCCCCAAAATCAAGCAGGCGGTCAGTTTGCAAATGCTTAGTCCTTCCTTAGTCCTCAAATTGCAGCGGAGACGCAGACATCAATGGACTCTGCCTTCCCTTGAGGTTCGGGCGGCCAGGGAGACACGGGAGAGATTTGGAGTTCTTTTCTAGACTGACAAAATCCCAGAACTGTGGGGCTGGAAGGGACTTTGAGAGGTCAGCATTGTGCACTGAGGTAGGAACAGCCGTGACAGGTGTTTGTCCAACCTGTTTAAATGAGCCGCTCGCTGCAAGCAGGATTCAAACTTGTGCCAACCCTATTGGCTTTCATGTCCAACACTGCAAGCTTCCAAGATCACACGGCTCGCCCAACTGGATGGGGCATTTCACGGACCCAATGGACACCCGTTACGCCAGTCACACCTTCATCCCCCCATTACCCACCGCTCAGAACACTATGTGCATCTTCAGCACCTTGCAGGGTGGGTAACTCACCACGCAGGGTGTTCCACTCTACTTCTGTGCTCATTGGCTTAATAGCTTAACATGGGGCATGGAGGGGAGGGCCACACCTATTGGCAGAGGCAGGGATGGGACATCATGCTCATTGGCATTGATGTGGGGGGGGGTCAGGGAGGCTGTGTGGATGGGTAGAGCGAAAGGGGCATGCAGGAGGTAAGGGGTACTGTAGTTAGGGAGACAGGGAACCATCTCTGCCCCATCCCAACCAGGTCCCACTGCACAGATCCCCCACTCCCACATTTGAACTGGTGAGTCAGACCGGGACTGGCAGCTAGGGCATGAGGATATTTACTGGAGCTGAAGAGGGGGCATTTCTGGAGTGGGGGTGTGTGGATGGAAGGGCAGAGATGGCTCCCCCAACAGCAATCTCTTCCTGCTTCCCCCCACCCAACTGACCCATGTCCTGCACATCTAAGACTCTTATTGGGCCTCCTATTAATGCCCCCCAGGGTGAGCAGGGCTATGGTGGCGTATGAGGGAAAGAGGGTTGGGGGCAGGTGGGTGCCGAAGGAGCAGGAGAAATCAAGAGAGCACTAGCACTGCCCCAACAGACCTGCAAGGACTCACCAGGCAGGGGAGTCACTCTGTTCCAAGTGTCCTATTGGCCCCATCTCCCTTAGACCCCACCCCCGTCCTTTGCTACCTCCCACTTTAACAACAGAAATTCAAATGCAAAAAACTTTGTTAAACATGGAGCAACGGCTGCAGCCTCACAGCAGTGTAGTGAGCTCCCCATCCCCTTCCAGAGCAGGGACGTGACATTCCTCAGCATCCTTCCAAAGGGGAGAGGACTGTTCCCGAACCTCAAAGGTTGGATAACCAAGGAATGCTGTGTAAAGGCCCCTGCACACCCCTTACAAGAGTGTCAGCTTCACCACAACACACATTAGAACATGTGCAGCTGTGCTGGATGTGTTGGAAGCATCACCTTAACTCTGCATTGCCTGGTGTTCTAATGGTTGCAGAGTGTGTTGTGTCCTCAGGCCAAAATGAACTTGTAAAAGGCATGAGGGGGCGGGACCTTGACTCCACATTTCCTGGGTGTCTGAGGTTTGAATTCTGGGAAGAAGGCTCTCCCCTTCATGAAGGTTGCGAGGGGCACAGTACGTGGCTGCAGCCACAGATGCACATGAGCAACGTTCGTGGTGTTTGGATAGACATCGGCCTGGGAGAGGCGCATTGAGAGCAAGGCACACTGTGCTGTCGCCTGATAAAGGGAAAAAGCCAGCCGCACGCCAAACCATACCAACAGCACGGCACACGCCAGTGGCTGAGAGCATAAGGAGACCAGCGCATAGGAGAGATCTTACCCTGGAAGCTGCAGAACCCCATGGGAGGGAGCGAGGAGGGTCAACGAAATTGACATTGACACAGTCCAGGCTGTTTACGGCAACTTCAGATCCCAATGTGGCTGCCCGATACCTCTTCCCCAGAAGCTGACCCCACCCTCCTCCATTGCCAGATACCATCTTGGACTAACCTTCCTGATGCCTGGGTGGTGGTGAAGCATGACCCCTAGCATTACCAGGCCCCCTTTCCCATCCCTCAAGCCAATCCATTGTGAGTAGTTATATTAATATTAATGAGCCAACACTGTCCAGTAGGTTGTGCCTCCAATATGATCTGCCTTAAACATGCTAGATCCGGTGGGCAGTGTACTGTTTGCCTAAGGCTGGCAGCTCCTTGGAGATCCTGCCTTCCTGTGTGTTCTCCACAGTGCAGATCACACCGACGGCACTCAATAATAAAGGCAAGAGGATTTCTCTGCAGCAGGACAGTGGCCTCAAGAACCAGATGAAATAGCATGTGTTAATTCCAGGCCGGTACTCCCCACTATAAATCAGGTCTGTGATCACCTAGGTTTGCCTCTACCAGCTATGCCCACTCAGAGCTTCCTAGCACCAACGGGAATCAGACTCCGATCCATCTGCTGCAATAGCACAGAGCCCCTGCCACTTGAGCTGAAGGAGACTCCCCATTAAGTGTTAGCGGTATAAGAGCCATAACACAGACACTTCAGCAACTCTGATTCTAGTCAGTAGAGGGCAGTGGCCATTAGCCAGGTCATGGCAATGCCTCCTCTCTCGCTTTGGGAACTTCTCCCAACTACTGCAGATGAGCTAGAATGAAACTGACAGCTCAAGGAAACCTTGTGGGTGAGAATTTGGTAGATGAGTCAGGCCCATCTGGGAACGGGAGTGATGGAAAAATCCCTGCCGACAGAACACAAAAGACGAATGGAGCAAGGAATGGAATCTGGGAATGGAGCCAAAAGAAATAAAGGACCTGATTTAAGATACTGTGGGAAAGAGACACAAGTGGACAAATTGCTCCCGGGGTTTAATTCAAGTGAAGGCCATGGAGTGAGGCCAGGGATGGATTTGGCCCAGTACGTCCCAAAGGAACCTGCATATGCCCAGACTTTTGTTTCTGCCTCCTCCCCAAACCCACACATAATCAGTTACATTACCAGATCTCTTGCATGTGTGTAATCTGGCAGCCCAGACGGAACCCTTTGTAGCAGTCCGTTAAACTGTTATTTTTACATAAAAACATCTTGTCAGTGGATTTTCCAATGCGGCTTTCCCCCCGCCTGGCTGCAGCTCCAGGGAATTGCAGAGAACAGAGCACCATTTTCAAGTTAACAAGCACAGAGTGTTCTGGGATCTTGACACCTTTTTTCCCTTCCTTCTCCCTCCACTGGCAAAATCCTACCTTGACTGTTAAGCACTATACTATGAAACGGACTATGCCATAGCACTGTGATTTAACAGGGTGGGGGACTTTGGTCCTACATGTGTGCACGGGGCCAAACCGTGTTCCCAGCTTGGAAAACAGACAACCCCCTCCCCAACCCAAGCTTTAGCCCATCACTCAATTTATATTTCAGTCCTGGGCTCCCTGCAGACAGATCTACCAATGCCCTTTAATCCTGCCCTGCAGCATCACTGATATTCCAGTCCTGGGGTGCCTCTCCAAAAAAGCTCGGTGATATCCTTCATTCCTGACCCTGCCTCTCAATGCTGGTATCAACTAAACGGATCTGCTGATGCCCCTCAATCCTGACCCACAGCCTCTCTGCTATTCAAACCTGCAGCTCTACCGATGCCCCCGATGCACAGCATCCTGCTATCCCAGCCCTGCGCTCCCCCCCAGTTCTGCCAATGCTCCTCAATCCTGACCCAGGCCTAGGCTCCCCCCACCCAGCCCTACCGATGCCCCTCAATCCTGACCCACAGCCCCCTGCTATCCCAGCCCTGATGCCCTCAATGCAACACTCCCTGCTGTCCTGGCCCTGGGGAGCAAACCCCACAAGGGTCTGGGCACCCAGCGTGGCGAGGGCTGTTCAGAGAGGTAGAAAGATCCTCCCCTAGCCCCTTCTGTGCCCCCACCTTACCTCCTTGTGCTCCCGCTCCACCTCCACCGCCACCACCTCGTGGCTCCGGTGCTCCTGGCCCTGGCACAGCTGGCAGATGCAGGCCTGGTCGGTGCGGCAGAAGCTCTCCAGCGGCCGGAGGTGCAGCTTGCATAGGCTGTCCTCGATGCGGCGCAGCGGGGGCACCAGGCGGTGGCCCTGGAAGGCCGGGCTCCGCAGGTGGGGCTGCAGGTGGGGCGGGCAGAAGGAGGCCAGGCATACCAGGCAGGACTGGGCCGCCGTGGCCCGCTCGCCCTCGGGGCAGACATCGCACAGCACCCCCTCCTCCTGCGCCGCCTCCGGCTCCTGTCGCTGGGGGGCGCCGCCGGGCTCCGACGGGCCGGGGCCCTCCTCCTCCGGGGGCGCCGGCGGGGCCATGGGGCTGCGGGCGCTGGGCGGCGGCTGGCGGAGCTGGAGTAGCTCGCACAGCGTGTGGTTCTTGCGGAGCTGGAGGTCGGCCGGGAAGGGCTCCTGACACAGCGGGCAGCGGGGGGCGCCCTGCCCGCCGCCCGCCCCGGCCCCCGGGCGGTGTCTGTGCGCCCCCAGGCAGCCCAGACAGAAGTTGTGGCCGCAGGGGATGGTGACCGGGTCCTTCAGGGTGTCCAGGCAGATGGGGCAGCCGAAGGGGGAGTCCTGCGGGCTGGGCAGGCTGCCGCCGGCCGAGCCGTTCTCCATGCTGCTCGGGCGAGCTGCTCCCTGCGAGTGCGAGGGACTGGGGGACTCGCCAGCCGGGAGCAGGGCGGCCAGCTCCGCCCAACAGGAACTGGTGTCAGAGCGGTAGCCCTGGGGCCGGCTCCGGGGTAGCGTGACCAGACAGCAAGTGTGAAAAATAGGGGATGGGGGTGGGGGGTAACAGGAGGCTATATAAGAAAAAGACCCCAAAATCGGGACTGTCCCTATAAAATCAGGCCATCTGGTCACCCTACTCCGGGGGGTGGGTAGAATCCCCAAGAGAAACGGTTGTGGGGGGCAGGCCCCTGCAGCGGGGATCCCCCAGGGACTGTGACATGGGGGTGCCCCCTGAAGCAGGGATCCCCCAACAGAAAGTGACATGGGGAATAGCAATAGCCCCCTCCATTAGGGATCTTCCAGAGTAAGTGACATGTTGATACCTCCCCACCCCACAGCAGGGATCCCCAGGAGAAAGTGACCTGTGGCACAGCCCCCTCCAGCAGGGATCCCCCCCACAGTGCACTCACTGACAACATTTTTTTGGGGGGGAGGATTAAACTAATCTTTTATTTAAGTGTCAGAACAGAGAATTCTTTCCTGGGTGTCTGGCTGGTGAGTCTTGCTCACATGCTCAGGGTTTAGCTGATCACCCTATTTGGGGTCAGGAAGGAATTTTCCTCCAGGGCAGATTGGCAGAGGCCTTGGAGGGGTTTCGCCTTCCTCTGCAGCGTGGGGCATGGGGTCACTTGCTGGAGGATTCTCTGCACCTTGAAGTCTTTAAACCACAAGATGAGGACTTCAGGAGCTCAGACACAGGTCATGGGTTTGTTACAGCAGTGGGTGGGTGAGATTCTGTGGCCTGCGTTGTGCAGGAGGTCAGACTAGATGATCATAATGGTTCCTTCTGACCTTAAAGTCTATGAATTCAAAAAAAAAATCAGAGCAAGTTTCCTCCCCACCAAACCCTCTCTCCATCACCAAAGACGAGTGACTCTCCTTCCCCTAGAGAGGAGGGTTTCAGAGCAATCTGGGACACATTGGCTTTACAGGCCCATTGTCATGGACAGAGGCTGTTTTTCTGTTCCGTGCGTGTACAGCTCCTAGCACAGTGGGGCTGTGAGCCATGACTGGGCTCCTAGGTGCTGCCTTAATACAAATAATAGCAGCAAGTGTCATGGTGATCAGAGAGGCCATGCCCCTGCAAAAACACATTGTGAGCAGTCCCTCTGGAGTTAATGGAACTATATGCACCTGGAGGATTTGGCTTGGCCATCACTGTTAGTAGAATTCGGGGTTGTGTATGGGGTTTTGGACACATCTGCTCACAACTGCTTGCTCAGAATCCACCATTTTCAGCCCATTAAAATAAAATCTGCATCAACCTACCTACAGCCCCGGGAGCAATGCACCGCGTCTCCCATGGGATTCCTCACATGCCTCCAGTTGCTCATGTGCGTAAGAGTTTGCGAGGTTGGATCCCAGCCCAGGGTAGTTACACGGTGCCAGTCTCTGTAATTTCTATGTGCTGGATTCCAGTGACTAGGCCAGCCATCGTTATCAGGCCATTTTTATTTCTCTAGGATCAGGTCAGTTGTATAAATATCTTTTGCTGGACAGTCAGTTTTATGTGTGTTTGCTTTTAAGGTTTGAAAACGCCATGCCCCTGGTTGGCTTCGAAGCAAGCAGAGTAATGAGACACAGGCTTTTTCCTTCTCGTGTTGCCCCAAACCCTTCCTGCTGGGGGCATGCTCTGGCCACTAGATGAGACAGATTCCTTCCCTCCTTCTCTCAGTCAGCCCCCCTGGCCTGCCGGCTCGCATACCCCAGGCCAAAATCACTGCTGCCAGAGGCGGGTGCTGCTCCGTTGAAGCCGCTAGGCCGCCAGTGTTGAATATGGCCGTCTGCTATTCACGTTCTTCAGAGCATGGGAGCCAGGCTGACAGGGGACAGTGCAGCATCAACAGGGGGCAGGAGGCAAATGGCCAGCCAGTATGAGGAAGGGTGCCCCCTTCCATGGCTGCTCCAGATGCTGCCCAGGTGAAGGGAGTTGGGTAGGGGCTTTGTGGAGAGCCAGAGCTATGGGGCAGTACCCAGGCTAAGGAGCTGGGTGATTTGCTGCCTAACTTTCATCCTCCTGAACAGGGAAAAATAAAAGCTATATGGAGACCTGGGTTCCTGAAATTCTGCCACTCCTCCACCCCTTGCAGCCCAGCTCTCCCTGCGGGACAGAGCCTCCCTCCCAGCCTTCACCCTAGCTGACCCATTTTCCTCCCACCCGAGTCTTTGAGCTTCCTTCCAAGTCAGGCAGCTGTGCCTCTCCTGGCAGTTGGCCAGCAGCAACCAGCTCTCCATGGGACAGTCCCTGCTACTCTCCCTTCTGCTCTGCCAAGCCCTGCCCGCCCAACCCTGGGGCCCACCTCTGCGAGGGAGTGATCAGATATTGACATGGAAGCATGACCGTGGATGGAAAGCTGGAGAGGAAAGGGTTTGCAGCAGGGGCTGCTTGAAGTGGGCACGGATGGGGCAGTAGGGGCCTAGTGACCAGGGCCGGCTCCAGGCACCAGCTGAGCAAGCTGGTGCTTGGGGCGGCAGATTGTTTGAGGCGGCATTCTGCCCAATCCTAGGGTGGCACGGCCGCTTTTTTTGTTGTTGTTCCGCTCCGGCCGCCCTGTAGGAGGCGGCGACGTGGAGAACCAGAGCGCCCTGCAGGGCACTCCTCTTCCTTCCCTCCCCGCCGACCGGAGCGGAGCCCTCGTGGCAGGAAGCGGCGTAGCGGGTGGGGCCGTGTGGCAGCACCCCTGCTGTAGCCCTGGCCGCCCCCTTCTCTCTCTCTCCCGCCCGCTTCCTCCCTCCCCCGCCCCACCCAGCCGGTCCCCCTGCACCCGCGCTCCGGCCGCACCACTAGGTTTTTTCTTTTTGTTTGTTTGTTTTGCTTTGTCATTCTGGCCGCCCCTATTTTTTTTTATTTGTTTTTGCTTGGGGCGGCCAAAAAGCCAGAGACAGAGCTCACCCTTTTCCTGCCGACTCCCTTCCTCCCATGCCGATCCAGTGGGATGCCCCAATCTCCACAATTGGATGGAGGAGTGGGGGGGAGAAAGGAGCACTAACCCAAGAGGGAAACAGGTGGGAGAAACAGGCTGGTCAGAGAAGGAAGCTGAGGCAAGGAGGGGAATCTGAATTCAGTCTCAGCTTTGTCTGCAAACCCACCTCACTGGCCCAAGCCATGGGGCTGTTCGAGGAGTTGCCCTGAGGCAGAGCAACATCTTCCCCGGGCAGGCAGCAGCCCAGGGGGTAGTGCCAGGGCTCAGAGTGGCACGGTCTGGGACGAGCTTGTGGCCCAGGAAGCATCTTTCCTGAGCAGGACACGTTTGCCAAGCGGGCTGGGTGAGGGGGTGATCAGTGGCCCCAGAGCCACGGGGGATGGGTTTGGGACAGGTGTGTAGGGAATATGGACAGAGGGTGGGTTATAATGGACTGTTTGGGAGCTAGGAGACAGGGCGTAGCTGCCTTGTATTTATGCACAGACATGGCATGGCTCAGGGAGCGGCAAGGCACGTTTCCTCACTCATGGCCTCTGTCCACTGTGAGGTAGGGAGTAGGGGGGAGACAGTGTTCAGGCTTCAGGCCTTCACCATCTCCAGTGAGGCTGCCAACACAGGCACCAAGTCACGCCAGCTGCGGTGGTAGTATTTTGGGATGTGGCTGTGGATACCTGTCCGCAGGGAACTGGATCAAGGTCAAACTCATTTCAAACAGGGCAGCTGAAGAGGCAAATTACCTGTGGGAGTCCAGCAGCGACAACAGAGTCATTGGGCCAAATCCACTCCTGGTGTAAAGTGGATATGGACCAGGGGACCTCCCTGGAGATTTAGTGCATCAATACTTCCATGAGCCTCTCTGTTGAGCATCACCGAGGGCCGTGGTACCAGACACCCTCTAGTAGCAGGAGAGCAACAAATCTTTATCCTGGGAAAGGTACCGAGACAATGCCCCCTAGCGGTCACTTCAACCACGTGGCTGGGAGGTGAAGCTGTGGAGGATGGGGATGAGGGGCAGGCACAGAGCAACGCTTGGCAGACTGGGCTGAGCGGCAGGCAGGCTCACAGCTAAGGACCGCTGGGCATGGTCGGCCATTGCTTCCAACCGCTCTGTGGCCTGTCAAAGCAGGATAACAGCACCAGCGCTACACGACACTCCCCTGCCACCCAGCAAGGCACAGCTTCACCCTTCAGCACAGACTAGTTCGAGTGATGGGGAAGAGCAAAGTCCTGGCCAGTTAAAGGAACAGCCCCATGCTGCCCGGTGCAGGGGCTGCTGGAGAGGGTAGTTGGTTTGTGGGGTAGAAGTTTCCTTTTTTTTTAAACTCTTACATTTCCAAACCACGTTGGCTGAAACATTCATCTCCCTAGGGGACTGAATCAGACAAGACAAGGACACACACAGAAGGGATGGGACGGGACTCCTGGGGAGGCACATGGCCAGGCCAAGGGTATGGGAAGCTCGCCTACTGCTGCCCACACTGGGTCTGTTTTGTGGATAGCTAGAATTTCTTCCAGTCTGCCTCCTGTCAATCCAGCACCTTTCACCAGACCTGAGCTCCCAGGCAAACTCTCACAGCATAAGAAAACAGAGCTTTATTCCAGAGGGGAACAAGTAGAACCCAACCATGGGAATTGACTGTCCGCAGAGCAGAGGAAAAAGTCCGCTCCCCTCTCATCCCCCCACCCCAACTGTGCTCTGAATGTTCTGAGGCCTGGCGCGAGAACAGCCCGGCATGTTAGAAAGGGGCCAGACTGGAATCTCTTCTTGGAACCATCCCGGAACATGGGTGGTTTGGGGAAAGTGGTTAAGAGTTTGCAATACCAGAGTAACCACATCCTCAGCCCTCTACAGCACGTCGGTGAAGGGCCTGTCCCACCGGCATCTCCTCCAATAAGCTAAGAGTGTCTTAGCAAGGACACAGAAGCACTGACTTTGTGATTTCTCTGGGGGTGCTGGACCCCCACTCCACTCCTTCCCCCAAACCTCTCTCCCACCCTGCATATTCCCACTTGCCACCCCGTTCTGCCCCCTCTCCCGCCT